CTGAAAGTAGAGAAGTCGGTTTGGCGTACGTGCACAGGCAGTTGTGGTTCATCCCTTCCAGCTCTGTCACTACTTGCTCATCTCCGGTAGGCCACTTCAACAACGCCCTCTATGTTTCACTCTCCTCGTGGAGGGCGAGTGAAGGCAGTGCTTACTCGCCTTTACAAGGGTTCACCTGCAACACTGCTCTGCTCCGCCTCCGCCTCCGTCTCCGCCAACACATAAGCCTTCTCCTCCTCCTCCTCCTCCTCCTCCTCTTTCTCCACCCTCTCTTCCTCATCCTTCTTTCCCTGCCTCCTTCCTCCAACTCTTCCTTCTCCGACCCCACATTCCTGTCCGTTTAGTGATGCAGATGCCCACAAATATTGTCAATGCCTAAGGGGGGTAGAAGAACGATGCGAAGGAGGGAAGGAGTGCGTCAGACCATTTATTTAATGACTGGGGTGTGTTGTGTCAGCGGAATCGGCATGGCCGAAGAGTCGTGGCGAAAGTAGAGCAACGCGTTGCCGTAGGACAAGGGGCCAAGCCGGCGTCGTTTTAGGTGGCAAACCCACGCACACACCGTTTTGCAGCAAGGAGAAAACTACTGTGCTCCAGTTAGACAACTTGTTTGTCAACTGCACGACTTGCGATGCGAAATTTGTGCCACGTAAATTCGAGGCCGAGTAGAGTGACAGTTCAGACAAGAAGAGCCAAGTTGTCAGTAAATTGGCATCCAGCCCAAACGTTTTACCGTAAAGTGTTTGCCTCTGTCTTGCCAAGTGAGACGTGGAAGGAGACCGCTCCGAAGTGGCATTCGCCGTTGGCAGTGACCACTTTGTTGTTCGATATCCCTCTGCCTGTGTTGGCGTCAAGCAACAACGCAGATTGGAGGAAGTGTTCCATTTTTTCGGATCGTTGTATGGCAGACGTCTTTTGCAAGCTGATGTACTGCCAGCTTTGAAGTGATTCACTTCTCGTTAATAACTGCACAATGTGTGACCGAGACATGTCTCGGGAACCACAAATCGCCTTTCCCAATAGGCGTTGAGTACCTTCACATCCAGTCGCGTTGTTGAGATTGCGAGGAGCGACCAATGAATGAATTGAGTGAATCGGAAGTGGTTGCAGCACTTACTGAATTGTACTCTCACCAACTCGGTCTCTTCGGCCGCGTTGTGATGGCTGTGCTAGGGGCTGCATTCGGCTGCCAGTTCTCCACGTCTCCACTCCACATCTATTGGTTTCGGTCCATTCTCCTCCCGTCGGCTGGTGAGCACCACATTTTTGCAGG